AGGAAGCACTAGGTGGGTGCCCACCATCGCCTGTCTCCCTGGAAGCTAGGGCTTCCTCCCCCAAGCCCGGCATTGCTCCATTGCACTTTAAATGAGAAGTGTATATTCATTTTGTAAACTAATTTAGAAATAGGGAAGTAACAAGGAAACAAAATCATAGGACGCCAATCTTGAGAGAGTCAGGGTTAACATTTTGTTGCCCAGTTTTTAAGTAGTGGGTACAGTGGTGGTTTGTTTTTTTCTTTGTCTTTGAATAAAAATAGGCTCTTCTGTACATGTTGACCTCTGCTCTTTGTTTTTTCGTTTATTAAGATATTGACATCCGTGGTGCGTGAGAGGCAGGGGCTGGGAAGACAAACGCCTTAGAGGCGTGCTTCCTGTCACGGGGGGTATTACTTTGGGGGCCCTGTGTCACCACGGCTCCTTGATGATCACATAGTAGATACTCCATAAGTATTTCTGATTGGTGATTGAATCCATGCTGCTTTCTCCTCCTCCTTTTAGAGGAAGTGAGACATCTGGTTTTCCATCAGAGGAGAATGACTGAAAGTAACATTGCCAGAACCAGCATTATTGAGGAGGCGTGGGACCAGGAGCATCTCGTTAGGAAGCAGGAAACAGCGGAAAGACTGCCCAAGTCTCTTTCGGGTGAGTGGAGACAACCTTTGAAGATAAAGGGAGCGCAGCGTGGCGGGCACCGTTAGCACGAGTGGGCACTGGCGACACCGCGCCCCTGCCCGCCCCTCGGGAGCTCAGTCTGAGACACCAGTGCTGCTGTCATGGATGGCTCACTCTTGGTCGCTGCCGGTGGTTTTCTTTCTTTCACGTTTGTGCTTATTTGCTTCAAGACTCAAACGAAAGGTTTCTCACTGGAGGAGTTATGTGTTTCATTAGAAAATTCCATTTTAAAAAAATACATAAAGTAAGGGAGCTGATCTATAATTCCGTCACGGGAGCCACTATTGGAACATTTTGATGATCGTGTTTTGGCAAACTTTTTTTCTTCTAGGATTGAACAAAATATATAGGTGAAAATGTCGATAAACGTCATTTTTAGTGGCTACACGCTGCCTCACCTGCTAGGTGTACTGTCATTTCCTTAACTGTTTTCTATAGTTGGAAACTTGGGACTTTGGGGAGTGTTTTTAGTCTTTGCTGACGTTGACAAAGGAGATCGTTGAAGGTATAGAATTCTTTTTCCTTTTCTCTGTGAAGTGTGACGTAAGGAACCCATTCATCTCAACCGGGGTTTGGCAAACTTTTGAGATGGAACAGCTAATCCTGTCCCTTACAATAAATTTTAAAATTAAAATTATTATTTAAAAATAATTTTAAAAGCTGTCAATATAGTCTGACAAATACATGAAATCACCATTATCTGAGTAACACCCTTTAGAGTTTTTCGGTTGTACTTAAGAGTGACATGTACATACCAGAGTTCCCTGGTCTTGAGCCAGTTTGCTGACCCCTGATCTAAGCCACCAGAATGATACGTTCACGTCCAAACTGATTTATTATTAATGAATCATTTTACTGCGTGTCAGGCCTCCTGCCTCGAGACTTGTGTTACAGGAACGCGTAAGCTGCCCTTGCTTCTTAGAAAACTCGTATGGAGCAAGACGTCTGGCAACATCTGCTATAAATATTATCAGGCTCTGACCAAACAGAGCCGGAAGCTTTGAAGAACAGCGAGGAAAATGATTTGCCATCAAACCAGATGGTTTGCCCCAGCTTGGTAAGCATGGATGCATGTTCTTTGGGGCAGTAGGAGGAGAGCCCTGTACGGATTCCCATCAAAAGTCATGTAGATTTAGAAATAACTTCACTTAAATGGGAATTGACTTAATCCGGTGGAATGAAAGGCACAGGAAGGAGGGATTCTAGGACCATGAGCACATGTTGGACAGCCGGCACTGTACTTTATGAACACATTTCAAAACGTTTACCTAAATCTCCTAAGAGCTGGCATCCACCCAATGGCAGTGAGTTTGATGTGGTTTTGGGAATCTCATAATGGTCGTTCTGCCTGGTCGTAGTCCTGTCTCCATTTTCAACACAAGGTGACTGAGTGATTCAGCAATTGGCACAGTCAAAAGCCAGGATTCTTGGTGAGTCCTGGATTGTAACCCACACCTTCAGTCCCTGGCGCTTGTAGCCTCTCTCCCTGTGAGTGCAGCTACTCGAAGGGCCTCTGATAGCCACGGTGAGTCTGGAGAAGGCAATCCTTGAACACTGTGGAGGACAAGTGCAGGGTAGAAGCCTAGCTGGTGGTTTGGAGAGAAGATTGAGTAAGAAAAGACACCCTCACTTTAAAAAATTGTCTTGAAAAAAAAATTGTCTTGAATGTATAGGTTAATTTGGGAAGAATTGACATTTTACCCTGTTAACTCATGCATGATCGTAGTGCATACTTCCACTGAATTAGAATCTTCCCTTTTATAGAGTTATTTTTTCTCCTTTTAGATATTGTATATAATTCCTTTAAATGAATTTCTAGATACTTTATGGTTGCTTGTTTTTAATGAAAATACCCTGTTTTCTATTGTGTTTCCTAGTTGGTTACAACCGTGATAGTACAAATATGGTCTATGCAGGACCAATAGCATTAGTGTCACAGGAGTTTATCAGATAAACAGAGCCTCAGGTCTTGATCCAAACCGACTGAGCCATGATCAGCATTTTACGTAATAAGCCCCCAGGTGATTCATGTACATGCTCTCCCTCTACCTGAAAGCAGGGTGTGTCTGTGAACATTTTCATAATTGTGTAAAGCAAGAAGCATTCAAAGGGGAATTTTTTTTTTTACTGTTCCCAGATCCAAAATCTAACCTACCCAAACCATACCAAATAACACGTAGCACCTAAAAGAGCACTAGCATATACAAGGGGTTATATGGATGGAATATTTTTTCAAATATATATATTTGTTTTTTAACAAAACAACCTGATCACCTTATCACTTCCCATCACACTTAATACATTGATCAAATCTGCAATTCCATTTTTGGAAACATTTTTCAAACTCATCTGTTTGGATTGCTGACCACCTCTCTCGTTTTTTTCTTCACCTCTTCTACATTGTCAAATCACTATCCTTTCATGTCCCTCTTCATT